GCCCAGGCCCTGGCCATGGGGTGTCTTCTCTCTGAACCAATCTCCTTTTCTCTGCTCTGGGAGTTGCAGTCCTGCTATAAAACCAAGTGTGTTTGTGAATAAACTTGGCTCTTCCTTCCTGTCATGACAGACGCCCATGGAGCTGTGCACCTTATTTCTGCTGCCCTTAAAGGGTTAAAATCCCTTTGCACAGCTGCAGTCCAGTTGTGTTGGTCCTTCATCGTGTCAGGTGGCCAAGGCTCATGGCTGGTGCCCAAATGCAGAAGGGAGGGCTCTGCTGAAGAGGGTCACTGTCCATTAGCACCCCAATACTCGTTGTCTCCGCTGTTTCCTGAGCACATTTCCTTCTGCTTTGTCGTGTGTTGCCCCCAGGCCGGCCAGGGACAGCGATGACGAGGACGAGGACGAGCGCAGGGGCAGGGGCTGCACCCTGCAGTACCAGCACGCCATGGTCAGGGTGCTCACACAGTTTGTGGCCGAGGACTCGGGGCCCTGGGGACAGCTCACTTACCTGCTGGGCTCCGACTGGCACTTTGACATCACCGAGCTGGTCAGGGACTTCATGAAGCTGGAGGATCCTCACGTAGCCAGGCTGCAGGAGGGCAGGATCCTCGTCGGCCGGGAAGTGGGGATGACCACCATGCAGGTACTGCCCCGGGCAGGGTTTTGGGGTGACCCACAGCCACGGAGAGGGGTGGGATTATGTGTGTGAATCCTCTCTGAAGGCAGTGCAGAAAGGTGAATAGAGCTGATCTGGTGGATATGAGGAAGGTGGAGAAGACAGCAGTGTGCCTGAACTGGCTGTCTGCAGTTCCCTAAAGAGAGCAGCAAAGGGAACGATGTTCTACTGTCCTGATGTTCCCTCAGAAACAGAAAAAGACAAGAATTTCCAAGCCAAGAACTGAAGGACGAATCCCAGGCTGGTAACTTCCCTTTGAAGCAGTTGGGAGCTTTAATGAGCTCATCCACATGGGAAAACACAGAGTAACAGGAGAAGAGAATTGTAAATCCACCCTCGTGGTGAAATGATGCAAATAACACAACTGGGATAGGACAGCTCCAGTCTTGGGTGGTTCTCAGCCATAACCTCTCCACTCAGGTTTTCTGACCCTGCTAATGAAATCAGACTCCCTTCTGCACGTGCTCTTCATTTCTGTACATAAAGCTTTGGAGACAAGAAGGGATGGTGACCTTAAGAAAGGTTATATTAATTGATCAGCCTTCTCCTAAGTCGATTCTTCTGTGTTTCTCCCCAGGTTCTGTCTCCTCTGTCTGACTCCATCCTGGCAGAGAAGACAGTGACTGTGCTGGATGACAAAGTGACCATCACTGACCTTGGGGTGCAGTTGGTGTCTGGGCTCTCTCTGTTCCTGCAGCCCAGTGCAGCCACCAGCAGGGCCATTGTGGCCACAGCTGTTGCCCAAGAGCTGCTTCACACTCCTAAGCAGGTAATGCACACTCTGAATTTACTGGGATATGGGGCAGGATTTTATCAGTGTAAAGCACAGGAAAATAATTCATGGCAAGTTTAGAATTTAGACTTTAGGTGTGTCCATGTTAATTGCTTTTCCCTACAGATACTCTGGAATTGCTTTGCCATTTCTTTCCTTCCATTATGAACTTCATCTGCAGTAAAAGTTCTAACTTCTAAACACTGAAGTTTGTGCTGTTTACAGTTTTAATGCCCTTTCTTTAGCTAATGAACCTGTGTTGTTTTCACTGCACAGGCAGTCTTTGGACAGTGATCCTGGTTTGCTGTACGAGCCCTTGTTTTTCATGCTGGAGAGCACAGAGCTCTGTGGTCACAATTTCATATCTTGAAGAGCTGTAAAATAGAGGCAGAAGATGGCCACATCCATTTCTGTTCCCTCCTGGAGTCCTGACACACTGCCAGGCTCATCTCTTCCTTTTATTTTTCATGTGGATTTTGGGGGTTTCATCATTCAGTTCATGTGCTGCTCTTAATTGAAGCCAGCAAATTCCCTTCTCTCTAAAGGGAATCTGAAACAGCTTGTCTCAGGTCACAAGCTCTGTGGAAAAGAAGCTTGCAGGACACCCCCAGATCAAGTCACACAGTCACTCTGGCCCAGAATAAACCCCAGGGTCAGCACTGGAACATTCTTCCTCCTGTTGATTTGAGGACTGGGGCTGGGGAGCAGGCAATTAAATCTGTCCACAGCTACTCCTGGTGCAGAAACTGTTTCTCTTCTCACACAGATAGAGAGAGATCTCAAGTCAAGTTTTATGGCCCATTTTAATGATTATTGCTACCTAATTTTCTGGACCATAAAAATAATTTAGTTTGTTTTATAACTTAGTGACAGCAAAATGTCCAAACTAAAAGGACACGGTGCCCATCTGTTCCATTTGTTGCATCCTGTAAACATAAGAATCTTATGTAATTAACCCATTTATACCCTTCTTCAGGGCTTAGAATCCACATCTGGCATATTGTTCCAGACAAAGACTGTGAAAACAAAAACTGGAGCGTTCCTAACCCAGCCCTGTCACAGACAGGGACAGAGCACCACCAGTCCTGCAGCAGCACTGGAAGAATTGTGGGTTTGACTGCAGAGAAAAGAGCTTGTGAAGCTGGAGAAGCTGCCCAGCCCCACTGTCAGCTCCACAGATTTATAAATGGTCTGTCCTGAGCATGCAAAGCCATTTCTCAGCATCAGGTTATGGCAGATTGTGCCAGGGGTGCCCATTGTGACACCTCCTGTTGTTGATGGCGTGGCAATGGGATGTGAAATGCATTACAGGATAATTGTCACTGCAACTGGCAAGTTAGGAAGTAGTACAGGAGAGTAAAAACGTGCTTTGGGTTGAAATTCTTTTACCCAGCATCTGAAATGATTGTAGTGAAGGGTTTGGAGGTGCTGTTCCTCTGCAGGATAATTTCAGGTTGCTGAGAGTGGCACATTTCTGGTGCTGGAGTGAGCGGGGATGGCAGGCTCTGGTTCTGAGCAGTGCATCTCCATCACCATAAACAGGACAGGAAGAGATTTCACACTGGGAAATAAATGGAAGGAAATGGAGTAGGAGTGACCTGCAGAGCCACAATCTTTTCCTTTCATTTGCAGTTTGAATGGAGGGTATAGCATTTAAGTCACTTTCCCTTAGAAAAATTAATGCAAATGTGGGAATGGTTGTGGCTAAATTTTGCAAGAAGTGATTCATGATTTGGAGTGCATCAGCTGAGCTCCTGACTGAGCTGAATTTTGAAGGCAAATGCTGAGTGTTTTCTGAAAATCAAGCCCTTTTGAAAGAGGGTTTTTTCCAAGGAGACAGCCCAGGACAAAGCCTGTACTTGAACATTGTGAGGGCTTCATTATTTAAGTGCATCTTTCCCCTCAAGCAAGTTTATAAAAAGGCCCAGATAACTCATGCAAACCTTACTGATGCAACTGAAAAACAAAATTCAGAGTTTTTTTGCTGTGGCTTTCTTTCAGTGGCCATAATGACTGGATTACCTTATTTATAGTGACCACACCTTTCTGCATACACAGCACAAAGCAGCCAAAACACAAGCCCTGAAAAGTTGGCAGTTCCCCCATAAATACAGAGCACTCTAATGAAGACAAGCCAATATTTTTTTTTTTTTTACCTTAGATACCTTTATCTGTAGCTGAGCAAATAATTACCTGCTGTGACAAGGTGACCTTGAGGGATGCTGAGCCCATCTATTCTTTTTGAATCAATAAGGGAGCTCACTGGCACTGAAGAGTGGATCAGTGATTTAGGTGCCTAAAAATAGACACGGGTTGACCAACTTTTAAATATCAAAGATGAAGTATCTTCTGAAAATTTGGGAACTGTGAGCAATGTGGGTTTTTGGTGGCCATCTGCTCAGGTAAGGGAAGCTGTTCCATTGCTGACAGTTGTTAAATCAACATTGTCATCTGAAAGGATTCTCCAAAGCGTAAACTAAAGAAAACCTACAGTGTTTCAGTGTTCCCTGATCTAAGTGAGCTTCAAGAATTCTCAAAGCTCAGCTGGCTGTGCAGGGATACTCTCAGTCTTTTCCAGCTTTTTTGTCACTGTAGGGTATTGCATGGGGTCTAATGAACTGAAATGGGTCAGTGAAGAAAGAAGAAAAAAGCTTTTAATAAATAGCTCTGTGCATTAATGTGTCTCTCAGTGCTCCTGGAGAACTGCAGACATTTTCTCAGGGAAAGAGAGCAATGCTGGTGCTTTGTAAAATCCAGGTTCTGGTGTTTCCCAGTGCCTGCTGACATCAGTGACAGATCTGGGGCTGGGGGTGTCTGCTCTCCCTGTGCTGGGAGGGGAGGGTGCCCACCCTGCCCACCCCCCTGGCCAGGAGAACAGCCTGGGGCCATTTCTGGCCATTTCTGGCCATTTCTGGCCCCCCTGGCCCTGCCTTGTTGATGGGCTGGTTCATGCAAGCCAGTCCTGAGAATTGACTGACATCTCCCAGTTAATAACAGATATTGGGAGTATTTTTATGGTGTGGGTTCATTATCCCATCCTGGCAGTGTAAGTTACACTTAAATTGTATTTATATCTTCTTTGAGCTGATAGAGCAGTGGAATGGCTCCCAGGGATGACAGAGGAATTCAGCAGCATGGGAAAGGGAGAAGGGATGCATTGTTAGATAAGAATCTGAATTCTTCCCTTGCAAATACAAGCAAATTCCCACTGGAAAGGAATGCCACATTAGCAGATTGGACAAAAAGGAGACAGAGAAATACTCAGTGGGGGAATGCATGGTTTGAATTAAGATCTGAGTCTTGGCTGCCTTTCATTTCCACATCATAACATCAAGCCCAATTCTTATTACACAAGCCACAGGCTTAAAAATAAATGCACATGTAATACTTTGATATTTCATGTGATAAAATTGCTAGGGAAATCCATTGCAGCATTCAATCCCCAGACAGAACAATCAGAGCTGGTCTAAGAGGAGCTGCTGAGAACAGTGTTCCTTGGCCTTTATTTGAGGGAGGGATGAATTTGTTTTCTGCAGAGCCAACCATTTCTTTCCTCTGATGTCCTGCCTCACTCCAGGACCCTTGCAGCTGACCCCAGCAATTGAGGGCTTTTTCACAAATACTTTTTATTTGTGCTATAGTGAATGAAGACCATTAAAAGGCTGCTTTATTCCGAGCATAGACTAAAATCAAATGTCCTGATCTGTGTTCCTAAGCAGCAGAATTCTCTAAAATGCAGCCAGTTTATCCAAGAAGATTTATCAGATGGTATCTTTGGACTGATAAGCCACAATGTAATTCAAGGCCAGAAAAGGTGGTGGGACTGCCACAGATCAAGAGCTGAAATCACTCCTGGAATGGGGGAAGAGAACAGCAAAGGCACAAGGGACAATTCAGACAATTGGTGAAGTTTTTTATGTGCTTAAGGAAAGCCTGGTGATAATCAACAGTGGTTGCAGCAGTTTCTACATCTCTGGGCTGGATTTTGGTGTCGTTGACACGAGGCAATGACCATTCTGTGACTCAGTTCCCATCCTGGCACTGATGTGGCCGTGGGTCATTTGTTCTGTGTGTGTGTGAAGGGAAGGGAAGGAGAAGAAAAGCAGGGAAGGAAAGGCTGGAAAGCAAAATAATCCCTCAAACTCTTTTGTTTATGCTTGATAATTAAAGAGCACAAGCATTTGTCACCTCAGTGTTGAGGCCACGAGACGAGGGGCAGCAGCTTTGCAGGTGAGAAGGCTCCAATCCATCTTCATCCTCTGAGAGGAACTGGAGGACCCTGTCAGAGATTTGGAGGGGATTTATTGATGTGGTACACTGGATTTGCAGAAACAGCTCCTTGAAGGCCATGGCACTAAATCATTTTCTTTTTCTCTCTTCTTTTTAGCTTTTCAGAATTTATAATCATTTGGGAAATTCACTTCCTTGCCCTGCCTTTGGCTTGCCTTTAATGATGTGAAGGAGAGGAGATGATCTCTTGCCAAACAGAATATTTGGGTTGATAATAGGATATTTTGGCAGGATTTTAAACTCTCTCCCTCTTTCTCTCATTTGTTTTCTTTCCCTTTTAATTAATGTTGTCCATAGTATGGGGATGACAACGTTGTTTTGTGAAAAAAATTGGTTCCTCCTACGAAGAAACATTCTCTTGGAAATAAAAAACGTCAGTGCTGGTAGAAAATAATGGCTGAGCCAGTGCACACCTCTGTTATCTACAGTAAATCACATGTGTGCCTGCAAATTTCAGCTGCCTGCCATCTCATTTTTCTCTGTCTCTGCTTCATAAAACCAGGAATGCAGAATTGTAGAGCGGTGGTGTGAAGAATAAAAGTTGCTCTGAAGTTGCTGGCAACTTTGTCCAAATGCACAGAGGATTTGGTGGCACAAATCCCTTGGCAGAGATGTGCAGCAGTGGCTGTTGAAGGAGGCACAGGTGTCATCATTTCCAGCCCTACCTGTACAGAACCCTGCACTGTTTCCTCACCCTGCACTGGCAGGGAGTGGTGCTGGTGTTTTCCCTGGACAGGTTGATGGAAAGCCAGGGTGTCCTCCCCAGTGGCACAGGGGGCTGAGTTTTGTTTAGGGAGAAGGAAGGGAACAGAGAGCTGAGCTGCCTGAGGAGGTGAATCCTTTTCTCTCTGCACATACCCATTAAAAAATCCCTCTGCTTTCCTATGGCTGGGCTTGCTCTGCTGTAGATTTCTGTGATGGAAATTCGAGCTGTGCCCTGCAGCTTCGTGTTTGTCTGTTCAGCCATTCCAGGGCTGTTTCCCTAATGAAAGATCAGATGTTTTAATTTCCTTATGCACTTCACCCTTCCCAGCTTCTGAGTTACCCTGGCTCTGTTTCAGCTCTTTGAAGTAAATCTGAATCACCAAGAACTTTGCCTTCTTTCCTGTTGTGCCACAACTTATTTTTCTTCTTTCAGTCCCTCAAGGACTTGCTGATAGTGCTTTGGTAATCAAATATTCAGTATGGCCCAACCTTCTGCCCATCTAAGTGCCCCTTGCTGTTTTCACTGAAAAGCTTTAAATTCAGCTGGAAGGGTAGCAATTCTCTTTGTTTATAACCACAGCATAACAAATTGCAGCCAATTGAAAACCATATTAAGTTGTAAATTTGTATTATGACTGGACATTAACAGGGTGGCAGTGTTTTTCCCCAGTGCTGATTTTTCAGCCCAGTTGTTCTGATGTACCCAAGTGTGAAGTTATTAGAGCCATTTGTGGTTGAAGTGTGGGAAGGGAAGAACTTCACTTTTGTGGGAAGTTGCACTCTGGCAATCTGCCTGGCCGTCTGCTGGCTACACAGGCAAGACACAGAACAAATGAAAAATTAAATAAATGTCCTGCAAAGAAAGCTATTGAGATGTGGAGATGTAAATATCTGTGTCATCTGGATGGGATTTGACATGGCAAAGAGCTGACCTCTGGCTTTGTGTTTGCTTCTAATGATGACTTCTAACAGTGCTACCTGCAGAGCACAAAGACAGACCAATTAAATCCAGGCCATTTGTATTTTTATTGTAGAGATCATGCCAGAATCCCCATCCTCGTCTTCTTGACACAGAAATTTGGTGGGCTTTTTAATTATCTCAAGGATAAAGTGTGTTTTACTTAAAACAAACCTTTCTCCAGCGAAACAGCAGTTGTTCTGTGAGTCTTTTTCTTTCAGATTAATCTGCTCCAGCCATTTCCAAGATCCTGTGGTAGCTCTTTACTCCTGCTAAGATACTTGTGCCTTAATTTGACAGCTCCTCATGACACCTGTGCATGTGGAACATGAGGAAAATAAGTGTTCTGTCAAGTGCCTGCAGTAATTTTTGTGATTCGCCTCTTTTGGCTTTTGTACGACAGGAATGACTTCTCTTACAGAGCTTGTAAAATTGTAGCTTGCTAATGGGTACTTTGGTAATAAAGACATCTCATACCGATTATTTTCTGTGTCCTTGTGCAAAACAGTTGCAGGGAGGGGAACAGTGGAGCTTTCAGTGAGAAATGTGTGCAGATTTCTGCCCCGTCAGTCGAGGCTTTGGACGCAGAGCCACCGTGTCCCATTTCCACGGAGGAGCTGCTTTGCTGAAGGCCCTGTCTTTAACCATCTCCCTTGTCCTTTCAGGAGGCCGTGGTCAGCACCTGGATCCAGTTCAGTGACAGCTCTGTCACCCCACTGGACATTTACGACCCCAAGGACTTCTCTCTGTCGGCCGTGTCGCTGGACGAGCGCGTCGTGTCCGTGCACCAGAGCCCCGCCCTGCGCTGGCCCGTGGTGGTGGCCGAGGGCGAGGGCCAGGGAGCGCTGGTCAAGGTGGACATGCTGATCTCGGAGGGCTGCCAGAAATCCAAGAGGAAGAGCGTGCTGGCCGTGGGGAGCGGCAGCATCAGGGTGAAGTTCGGGCAGAACGACGCGGACGCGGCGGCGGGCGGCGATTACGACGGCGACGAGATCGAGAACCGCGCCAGCGACCGGCGCCACAAGGGCTGGGAGCAGGAGAGGCACCAGCAGCAGGGCAGCTCCACGGCTGACAGGGACGAGGGGCCCCTCAGGAAGGTCAGCACCACCGCCAAGTCCATCCTCTATAAAAACAAAGTGGTCAGGAACAACCGGCCGGACGGCGGCAAGCTCTCGGACGACGGCCAGCTGCAGAACATCCCCATCGACTTCACCAACTTCCCTGCACAGGTGGAGCTGCCCAAAGGAGGGGCTGGCATGGAGGACAACGAGCTGGTGCAGACACCCCGAGGCCTGAGCGACCTGGAGATCGGCATGTACGCCCTGCTGGGCGTCTTCTGCCTGGCCATCCTGGTGTTCCTGATCAACTGTGCAACATTTGCACTCAAGTACCGCCACAAGCAGGTGCTGGTGGAAGGACAGACCACCATGACCCACTCCCACGACTGGGTGTGGCTGGGGAACGAGGCAGAACTGCTGGAGAACACGGCAGAGGCGTCGCCCCAGCAGGACGAGCACACCACCATCATCGACCGCGGCTCGGAGAGCAGCCAGCTGCTGAACGGCAGCGCCCAGAGGAACGTTCAGAGCCAGGTGCACAGGGCTGCAGACCCCGGGGGGAGGCTGGGCAAGGAGCACAAGGTGGAGCCTTTGCACTCGCCCACGTCCAAGAGGAAGAGGGTGAAGTTCACCACCTTCACCACCATCCCGCCCGACGACGGCTGCCCCACCGTCAACTCCATCCTGGGCAGCCACGACGACGACATCAAGTGGGTGTGCCAGGACATGGACCTGGGGGACTCCACAGAGACACACAGCTACGTGGGGAAGGTCAAGGACAAAGTGTAGCTCCCCTGCTGGGGCTGTTCTGGGTTTAACCACACCTTGATGCCTTCAGTTCTACAGTAAATATTGGGACGGGCGGAGGGGAGGGCAAGGGGTCGCCAGGAGAAGTGATAGGAGGCAGATTTTGTAATCAGGGAAAGAAATTTGCCAAACTGTCCACGGTTTGTTTTTTGTTTTTTTCACTTCGTTGTTATTTTTTTTTTTCTTGTTGCTCGTTTTGTTTTTTTATTTTCCCGTGGTTATTCTGTTACTCATGGATTTAGGAAGGGGAACACAAATGGGAGAAAGGAAGAGGGAAATGCTGTGACCAACAGGATGAACTGGGCAAGATGAGGTTGTGAAAATTCATTTTATGGGTCATGCAAATAATGATGATAGTAATATTTCACAGTACCAAAAATATCTGTAAAAAAGAAATGAGAGAATATAAGAGCATGAAAAGAATAAGTAAGAGGCAAACAATACTTTGTTCTGGTTCCAATAAAACATCACAGTTCTGCACATGTGACCCACAAGGAGACTTTTCATATTGGTACTCAGGCTGTTTCTTTTCATTCCCTCATTTGAAATGAAGATGTGTCTTTGGCATTCCATGTGAAGGAGGAAGAAATTACCTGGTATTTTCATTTTCACTTTTCCATTTGTCTTGTAAATTGAAACAGAATCATTTTCCCTCTTGTAGTTTTCTTTTAAATACCTTGAAAACAGAAAAATTTAAAATTCACTAAGTTCAGAGTGGGTCAAGAATATTCTGTTTCTAAGTTAGCTGTAAACAGTCTCCTGTCATTTAAAGAATTCAGGGGATGAGTATTGACTAATAATTTCCACGTGGTGTCTCTTCTGAAAGCTTGAGCCTCCATTCCACCCTAGCTGGAAAGATGTTCTGTTTGGAAGAATTTTCATTTTCCTTTCAGGTTTGGATTGTTTGTTTGGTTGCTCCTTTAAAATTTCCACAACCAAAGTTGCTGTGTTTCACCAAGGGAAGAAGGTGCTGGTTTTTTGTTAGCTTTTACAAATCCCAAGCAATGGGAGTGCCCCACTGGTGCATCATAAATGTACCTGGAACTGAGACCTTCACAGGCCAAATATGTACAGCTGGAGTCTGGTTTTGTTGTTTTTTTTTTTTTTCCCAGATTCACGAATTCATAATTTTGTGCTGTAATTTTGTGTTTATTCTGATGTCACCAGCTCTCATCAAGCTCTGAAAGCAGGAAGAAGAATGGACAGAAAGACCCTGATTGCCCCCAAACTTTAATTCCCTTGTACTGGGAGAGCTGGGCTCTGGGCACACTGTTGGGAGGGAGGGAAGCTGAAGCAGGATCAAGGAATATCTGGAACTATTTTATAGATTTTGGGGTTTTTTTTTTGCCATTGGATCAGCTAAGACTGAAAAGTTCAGACTAGATTGTAAATCTGATGCTTTGAATAAACAAATACCAGCCCAGTAATAAATCGGAAGCAAATACAAAAAGAGAGATTTAATTCCTGGTGTGAAGTGGCAGAACTGTGTTCACTCAGTGCCAGTTCACATTCCTGGAGGACACAGATGAGAATCTATTCCATGAGGAAACCACTGACCTCCCAAAGCTCTCCTGACTAAAAGGAGGTGGTAGATCCAGCCTTTATTATATCAGTATTATGTCCTAAATGACAGCCAGAAGCACTTGCATCATCCTGTCTTTGCCATGTATTTCGTTGTTTGGGGTTTTTTAATTACTAAACTCTGTAGTTTGTTGGGGTTTTTTGTTGTTTTTTTGTTTTGTTTTGGTTTTTTTTGTTTGTTTTTTTTTTTTTTTACTTGGACAAAGTCAATCCTGCCACACCCAATAACATAGATGGACGTTTTAACAAGATATGCCTAGTATGCATTGTAGACTGAAAGAATGTAATATTTATTTATACCTGTTATATGAATTGTAATTAAAATGCTTTACACAGCTTGACAAATTAACCTCTCTTTCCTCAGGGGGGGCCTCCCCTGTCATTTCTGTGTCGTGCAGCATCCGTGGGAGATGATTTCAGGCACTTTCTGGAGGGAGGATGGAGATGCATGAAGGTTAGGACCCTGCTCCTGGCATGGGCGACTCTTGTAATCAGTTAATTAATTAATGAATGACGTGGCTTTTCCTGGAGAAACACAGGTGTCCGTGAGGTGGAAAAGGCATTTACAGTGTGGAGCTGCAGCAGAGGAGTGAGAAATGCAGTGTTGGAGCAGAACCAGAGTGCTGTGGCAGCTCAGAATGGACCAGTCCCAGCTGTGCAGCACCTCCAGGAGCCCAGGGCTGGTGGCTGGACAGGAGCAGGGTGACCAAATCATGAGTCTGTGCAGAGGAGGACAGGCTGGATTTGAAAAGACAACACAGGGAGTTAAAAAAGAAGGAAAAAAACTCAGCCCTGCCTTTGCATTCAGTTTTTATGAAGCTACAGAACATGGGGCTTCAGAGGCTGATACTGGATTTTTTCCATTTGTCTTGCACTGACCAAAAATTTTGTCAGAGCCACCATAAATGATCATCTCAGCAGTGAGGAAAGCACTGGGCTGTGAAATATCATTTATTTGAGAAATCCCCGTTGGGTCAAATGTCAGGATTTCCATTTGTGAAGCTCTGCCGTGCACTGGGATGGGGCACTCAGGGCTGCAGAGAGAACGGGCTGCAAGCTACACCTCGTGTCAGGGAGCCAGGAGAGAAATTCATTCATAATCCTTGGCACTTGGAGGGGATCCTTTCATCCGAGCAGCTCAGGGACTTGTGATGGTGCAGGATGGCAATGTGAGCAGGCTGTGTCCTCCAGGGAGAGTTCCCCTCCTGCCTGGGGCAGAGCTGGAGCTGCTGCTGGGGGGCCATGAGTGAAATCACCTGGAGCAGCCACAAACACGAGCCTGGGCAGGTGGGAAGGGCAGGATTGGTGGAAGCTGTGATGGGAGTGAGGACAGGCACCTGTGGGACAGCACAGAGCAGGTGCAGTCACACAAGTTCTGCTGCTGAAGCCACGGGGACAGGAGGGACTACAGGAAAAAGGTGAGTTCTGCCTTTATTCTTTTTTTATTATTGAGCTCTGTTTGGAGAGAAGAGGAAGATTTATGGTTTGAGTGGTCTAAGTGTGGGAATCAGCAGGAGAAATTGTGTTTATCCTGCCCTGCCTTTGGCAAGGGAATGAGGTGCAGCCCATAGGAGCTGCCAGTTCCACAGGGAACATCCTGGATCCTGCTGGGTCCCGAGTCCTGCTTTATCCTAAACATTGCTTTATCCTGAGTCCTACTGGATCCTGCTTTATCCTGAATATTGCTTTATCCTGAGTCCTACTGGATCCTGCTTTGTCCTGAGTCTTGCTTTATCCTGAATCCTGCTGATGTGGCTGAGCTCCTGGGCAGTCCATATTCCTCCCCCATCAGCCTCCCTTGCCCTCAGCTCTAGGAAATGCTTTGACATTGATTAAATTGGAGAGGTGACCTGGAAAAGGCTGTGTCTTCTGGAGAGCAGAGAGGCAGCAGTGAATTCATGGTGCTGCACCCGGGGTGCTGGGCTGGAAACAGGACAGTGACCCCCAGTGCTTCCACATCTTCCCTTGCCAAGCTCCCAGAGCAAGCAGCCATGGCAGCAGGGGAATTGCTGTGATTGAAAATGCTCCTGGGCCAGATTTCAGTGCTCAAAAAGGAGCTGTCAGCAGAGATGCAGCAGCAGACAGAGATAACGATGGAAATTACCCAATAACTCTTCCCTCTTGATTACTTATTTTGGACAAACTCAGACCCATTCTTTTTATGCTTCTGTTCAGAATTAAAGCTCTTTGTGTGAAGCATCAGTGTCAAAGGCAGCCTGGAGCATCTTGGAGACTGCCTGGTGTTCAGCTGAGCCCTGTGGAGATGCAGAGACCCCCCCTGTGCTAATTGCACACCCCCCTGTGCTAATTACACACCCCCTGTGCTAATTGCAGGCACTCTGAACTAATCCCCTGGGCTGCTCTGTGCACTCCCAGGCAATCCTGCCCATCTCTGGAGGTGCACTGCTATGCTCAGGGGTGGTTGGTACCTTCCTGAGCCCCTGTTTTCCCCTGGATCTGGAGTTTTTTGGGCAGCTCTGTGGCCGTGGAGGGTGGTGGGTGCAGCAGGCACTGAGCACCTCTGGCTTTCCCAGCCCCTCTGAGCCTGAACTGCCAGGGACAGGTTTATTGCCCTGAATTCAAATAATGGCAGCAGCAGCTGAATTCCTGGAAATTCCCAGTTTAGGCTGGAACAAGTTGCAGCACTAATTACCTGGGCACTTGTGTGGAGGGGAACCTTGCAGGAGGTTTTGGGGAGTTCTGCCTCAGTCTCTCAGTGGAAGGGACCCTTGGCTGGGATCTGCTGTGCCAGACCCTGCTCACTGAAGGTTTCTGTCCCTGTTGGGTATTTTCAGCTTCCTGAGATTGCAGATTTAAGTGTCAGCTTTGCTAATGAAAAGCCACTGGTACGAATTCAAGCTTTGCATTTCTGGGGAGAGGGGAGGTGGAAAGAGATGTGGGCAGGATTTCTGGCAGAAGTGAAGAGTCAGAGAGCAGTTGTGTGGAGGGTAGGGTTGTTTTGTACTTTGCTTTCTGTAAATCTCTGTAATTTCCATTATTGCTGTGGTCTCTGCTGGTTTGGAGTGATAATTTCCCTGCTTTGGGGGTGAGATCTGCACATCCCTGAGGAGCTCTGGGATGGGCAGCACTTTTGGGAACATTGTTTGTTCATTCCATGTTTTCTGCTGCTGGGGAAGGTTTTGGTTCCCAAACTGAGCTGAGCACCTCCCAAAATGCTGAGCATTGTCACATCAGGGTCACCCAGCAGCAGGTGCTGGAGAATTACCCAGGGACTCCTCCTTGGTGTGAGGGCATCTCATAAAACTGAGCTGAGCCCACCTTAATGATGGGGCTGTGTTAATTGAATATGAAATGGCTGCAGGGCCTTTCCCTGCATTGTCTGAAAGGATTAATGTTCTCTAACAGAAGCCCTGGGGCAAACCAAGGCACCATTTCCCGTTCTCCCACTCCCCCCCCGTGCTTTGGGATCTGCCCGTGACTTTTTTCCATCATTGCTCCACCAGCAGGGCAGGAGCTCCGTGGAGGAGCTGCAGGGAAATCTCCCTGCTCTGGGGGCGTTGTGGCTCATTTTAAATCTGATTTTAATCTCATTTCACAAGAACAAAGTGTGAGATCGTACTGGGGGATGAGGGAAGTGAGCAGGGCT